CGGGAACCGAACCCGGGTCTCTCCGGACCGCAGGCCGACGCTCTAACCGCTGAGCCAAACTGGCCAGGGCTAAACTTATATTTTTAAACAACTCTAGGAAAGTCATGATTCTGAACTAAAATTCTACCTAAAACATCTCTTCCACAAAATCTTTCCTGGTCACTCACTCCATGTACCGCCACTCCTCACCCCCAATTTGTTTCTTATTTTCTGTGATACTTTCTTTTTTAAAAAATACATTTTAAAAAACGTACATTTGATTTTTTTAGAGAAAGAAGAAGGGAGAGAGAGACAGAAACATTGGTTTAAGAGACACAACCTGGATCAGCTGCCTCCTGCATGCCCCCTACTGGGGATTGAGCCTGAAACCCAGGCATGTGCCCTGACCAGGAATAGAATTGGAACCCTGCTCAATCCACTGAGCCACACCAGCCAGGCTACCTCTGCTATCTTAAATAAATCAAGAATCACCAAAGCCATAAATTTTTAGGATCAGAACTTTGTACCTACCATGTTTTCTCTGACACCTAGCATTTGACAATCATTTACCATCTCAGCCCATGCACCTGTATGCAAAATCCTCATGTAATGATGATATAGGGATCAGCTTTAAATGAACACTAAAATTACAGGCTTTCATCTCCTCACAGAAGTCTTCCATTCTACATAAGAGTGTAATCTAAAAAGGCATATCACAGAAACTAATCATTTCAACCTTGGCTACCAGGGGTTCTTTTTGTGAGTGCTTTATTTATTTTTTTTAAATGTATGTTTTCACTGATTTTTAGAGAGAGGGGGGAAGGAAGAGGGAGAGTGAGAAACATCGATACGGAACTCAAGCCTCCCATAATGGATCAAACCCGAAACCTGGGCATGTGCCCTAACCAGAAGTCAAACCAGCCACCTTTTGGTACATGGGATGATAAGCCACACAGGCCAGGACTTTCTTGTGAGTAGTTAGAGTAAAAAGCAGAAATAGAAATTCAGATAGTCCACCCTGGCCGGTTTGGCTCAGCGTTTGGAGCATCGGTCTGCGGTCCAGAGAGACCCAGGTTCGGTTCCCGCTAAGGGCACATACCTCGGTTGCAGTTTGTCCAGGCCCTGATTGGGTCGTGTGAGTGGCAGCTACTTGATGTGTCCCTTTCACGTAGATGTTTCTCTCTCTCCTTCTCTTCCTCTCTCTCCCTCCCACTCTGTCTGAACAAAAAATGGAAAAATGTCCTTGGGTGAAGATAAAAAAAAGAAATTCGGATAGTTCTTATCAGTAATGATCAGAAATGTTCCATTCATGCTCCAACTGCTCCTTATAAACTTATAAACAGGGAGGTCATAAAGAATTTTCCAAAATCAGGTCCAAAGGGGTGGGGTTGGGGGATTTAGCTCAGGATGAGTATAAGAAATAAAAATGGGTTGGTTTGTAATTAGTTAGGTTAGAAACGGTTAAAGTCACCTCTTTTAGGGAAAAGAATTAGATATACAACAGATAAATTGGCTTCAGTATATATCACTGTCCAAGAGAACTTTCTGTGGTGATGAAAATGTTCTCTATCTGTACTGTCCAGTAGCCACACTGTAGCCAAAAGCCACACTGTGACCGTTGAACATTTAAAATGTGGCTAGTGTGACTGAGAAATGCAATTAACTTTATTTAATCTAAATTTAAATATTTAAAGCCAAATGTGACTAGTGGCTACCATAATGGACAATGCAGCTCTAGGTTCTCTAAGTCAGTGTTTTTCAACCAGAGGCAATTCCTCACACCCCCAGGGAAAAAGTGCTTCAACTGGAGAGGTTTTTGGTTGTCACACTGGAGGGAGAAGGTGCTACTGGCATTAGTGAGTAGAGGCCAGGAATGCAGCTAAACATTCTACAATGCACAGAATAGCCTTCCACAACTGAGAATTATCAAGCCCAAAAATGTCAGCAGTGCTAGTTTGGAAAACCCTGGTCTAAGTTTACTCAAGGTTGGAATTAAAGTAAATGCAAAACAAATTTGCAATACACCTTGTCTAAACATAATACCCAGGAAGAATGAGAGTTTCCAAGCAACAGAAAAAGGTCTGGGCTATTTTACAAATTTAAAGCAGCAGGTTTTTACTAAAAAGTATATTTAGGTGTGTTGAATAACTTAAGAACTTCAGCATCAGAGTAATTACTTCCTGTGGTATTTTAAAACTTGAATTAAATTACCACAAGTAAGCACTGTGAGACTATACTATAGGGCCTCATTCCTTATACATTGCACATACAGTATTGGGAGGCTGAGGCTCCTACTCTTCTAGTTTGAATTCCTGGCCCCTTCAGTTAACCTACCTGGTTTCTTGAAACATCATTAATTTCAGATACAAAAAGAAAACTGATACTATTGTGGGAAAAAGACAAGAAAATGTCATCGCAGGTCTGAACATCTACGTATTATCTAAAGAAAAAGCAAGAACACATAATTGTATTTGGACCAAAGGAAATGTACTGAGTAATTCTACTAAATGATGATAGCATACTACCTTTTAAAGTGAGAGTGATTACTTGAAATTTTAGAGGATGGGTATCAAATAACACTGTGGTGTCTGTATCCAGTATAAATTATGCAAGGATCAATTTAAATAGGATCATTCAGAACTACTCAGATAGTTCTCAAATTTATATTAGCAATGTAGAATTTAGTTTGAAATAGTCTATTATTCAAAGAAACAGGAATGGGCACGATTCAGTGTTTTAGGTTTAAACTATTTTCCAGAACATAAAATCCTCAATATTCATATTATAGCAATGCTTTTTCTTTTCTGCCCACTCAGCACCAAGAGAAATTGTTCATTACATGTAAGATCCTCTATTGCTTCAGGAAATTTAAAAATAAGACATAGTCTTAGTTCTGAAACACTTACATTCAGAATTTCCACACTGGCCTAAGGCAGAAACTTCCAACCTACACATTCTGAATTCCTAAAGGATCACTGCAATTGTTGTGAATGCTCCAGCCTTAATAACTTTGGAATTTCAGTAGCTCTTCAGATCTTCATTTGGGGAACATTAGATCTTTTATCATCAGTTAACATTTAGAGAGCAACCACTGTAATCTACTAATCAAATGTCAGAAAAGAAATAATTAAAGCAGTATTCCAACCCACTCTGTTTTGCAAATTTGCCCACAAAGAACTATTCTTGGAGGAAAGATCACCCCAGTTCTTTAGGTTTTTAACTGAAATGACTAAAGCCCATCCCATCTTCTCATGAAATTGGAAAGAAAACAACACTGAAGGGACATTTTTAGCATTATTTTGTATTCAACTATTGGTGTTACACACATAATCTAGACCAGGTCCTCTCATCTCTGCACCACTGACATTTTTAGCAGATAATTCTCTGGTATATGGGCTGTCTTGTGCAATGAAGGATGTTTAGCAGCATCTCTGGCCACCACCCACAAAGTGCCAGCAACTCCTCCCTACCCCCTTGTCAAGATAATAAATGTCTCCAGCCCTGACCAGTTTAGTTCAGTAGTTAGAGAGCCCAAGGACCAAAGAGTGGCAGGTTCAATTCCGGTCAAGGGCACGTATTGGTTGGGTCCCTGGCCCTGATTGGGGTCATGCAGGAGATAACCAGTTGACATCGATATTTTTCTCTCTCTCTCCCCACCCCTTCCCTCTCACTGTATCGGAAGATGAATGAAAAAATATCCTCGGGAGAGGATTAAAAAAATAAAATCTCCAAATGTCCCCTTGGAAACAAAACGGCCCAGTGGTTAAAAATCACTGATCAGACTAAAACTCAAAATACCCAAAGGTGGACATTGTACTAATCAAAAGCCTGGAAAGACTTTATTCCTAGCCAGAAAACCATGTAACATTCACCAGAAAGGCAGTAGAAAAAAAAACATAACTTTTTATTTTCTTGACTGCATTCTCCAAAATTTATGAGAAACAGCCTAAGCGTGGGCTATACCACTGTGGGCACATGTAGACATCTGGCTGAACTTGTACAATCACTCCCTTCAACCCTCCAGAGACAAGTCAACAAATCTACAGTAGCTGCTGCATTGACAAATGACAAAATGTGTTATTTCTACCAGTTCAAAATTAAAATAACGCAGTCCTAAAACACTAGCCTTGCTCCTGAATTCTACGTGTATGAAAAACTGGGTGTGAACAAGCAGACTCCCGAGAGTGAACAGGAAGAAAGACTTGAAAGGAGGACAGAATGTCAGGTTCTGAAGGTAAGTATCCGTGAAGAGATCCAAGCACTGGTCATTTATTTACAAACCCTATATCCGGGACAATTAGAATCCATTTCACATGCCAGTGTAGTCAGCCAAGTACATCACGCTACTGTTCCAAACAAGAGGAAACCAGAGGAAAGTGCTGCTACCAGTAGAGTTCGGATTGACTCGAGGGTCTTCCCCTAATCCGGAAAGGGGGAACCAGAAAGCTGTGGAGCAGCAGCAATAACCGAAACGAAATTGACAACCTCCTGAAGACCCACCCCTTCCTTGACCTCCGGGGTCTTAACCTGTGTTCACAAACTACAGCATCAGAACCACGTGGAGAACTTGTTAAAACACACAGCTCTCTGGATTTTATGCCAAGGACCTCAGGTGATTCCTAGGCGCGCTGAAGCTGGAAGAACACCTTCATAACTGGGAAACCACAGAAAACATACAGGTTTGCAGCTGGCTCCCAAACAACTGGGGCTTCTTTCCAGGCGCTCCTGGGGCCGCAAGTTGTTAGCTCTAGCATCCAAATGGGCGAGCTGAACTCAGGCAGGCCCCAAGGTCGACCCCGCATTGGGCTCCAGGGCGCTCCCGCCCCGGGGCAGAACCCGGCCGAGCCTCCCTCGGTCCACCGGGACCCGAGAGACTCCCGGCCCCGTGACGTAACCAGGCCCCTCGCGGCCAGGCCTCCTCAGGAGGAACTCGTTAACCCCCGGCCCCCTTCCCAGTCACAATGGCAGCTCGCGACAGGGAAACAGTCGCCCCGGCGCCGCCTCCCGCCCCTCGTACGAACCTTCTCCAGGGGCGCATCCATGGTGGAGGCGGCCGGCGGAGCCCGATGGAGGCTCGCGGTCCCAGGTGCTACTTCCGCCTCCCGTGCTCCGCCGCCGTTTCCACGCTGGCAGCGCTGACGTCCCCGCGCCGGCGACCGGCGGGGCGGAGACGAGGAGGAGCTGTCCCAGCCTCCGCTGGGTGGAGAATCTGCGGGGGTCGGAGAGGCCAGGCGCGGCGGGGCGGAGCCCCTAGGGGTGGGCGGGGCCTTCTGGGCTTCCGTACCCGGCCGTCACGTCGGCCAGCTCTAACATTCCCAAGTGGGAGAGGGGGGATGGATAGTGGAGCCGTTCCCAACTCTTTTCAAAAGCCTGTCGCAGGCGTCAGGGTAGAAATATATTATAAAAAGTTACCACTCATACAGAAAAATGCAGTAACTACTAGTCATGCACCTGTACCTCCAAGCCTATGCTTCCAAATTCTCCCCATCAACATCTCAGGAATGGAACAGTCCATACCACAGAAGGGCGGGGCGAGAAAGCACCCCTGCGCACGCGCAGGATTGACAGTTTCCTAGGTGCTCCGTGATTTACGGGTTTCAGGACTTGGGTTCCCAAGTGACGGCTGCTGTGCAAAGGCACTTGTCAGAACTGAGGTATTTGCCTAAGACCTTACTGTAGAATTCTAGACAGAAAAGACTTCGAGACAAGCGGCCCAGCCTCTTTCCTCATGGCAAGCCCCACTTAGCAATTGTCAGGTGATAATAATAATAGATCACCTGCTGTTTTCTCATTTCATAGTACAAATCCCCCCCTACGTTGTAGAGATGGTCTTTATTCTAAGGTGCCAACAGAGGTAGGACCCAGACCCAAACACCCTGACTACACACACTACCTCCATAACCGCCCCCACACCTGGTTTACAATCATGATGTGGTTTTAAGGAATGGCAGAGGCCATACATTTGCTTATTATATTCCTTTAAAAGAGTGGCCCTGGCCGGTTTGGCTGAGCGGTTAGAGCATCAGCCTGCGGTCCAGAGAGACCCAGGACCCGGGTTCGGTTCCCGCTAAGGGCAGGTACCTCGGTTGCAGTTTGTCCCCAGCCCTGGTTGGTCGTGTGGGTGGCGGACCCTGGATGTGTCCCTTTCACGTGGGTGTTTCTCTCTCTTCCTCTCCCTCCCACTCTATCTGAACAAAATATGGAAAAATGTCCTCGGGTAAAGATTAAAAAAAAAAGTGGGATTAATTGGTTCATTTAATGTTTACACAAATATTTACAGAATAAACTCAAAATGGATTAAATAGTTAAATGTAAGATTGGAAACCATAAAACTCCTAGAAGAAAATATAGGCAGTAAAATCTTGGACATTTCTCTTAGCAATGTTTTTTCTGATATATCTCCTCAGACAAGGGAAACAAAAAATAAACAAATGGGATGACATCAAACTAAAATATTTTGCACAGCAAAGGAAACTGTAACAAAATGAAAAGACAACCTACTAAATGGAAGAAAAGATTTACTGACAATACATCTAATAAGGGATTAATATCCAAGGTCTATAAAGAACTCATACAACTCAACACCAAAAAAATAAAATCCAATTAAAAATGAGCAGAGGATCTGAACAGACATTTCTCCAAAGACGATATACAAATAGCCAATAGGCATATGAAAAGATGCTCAACATTACCAATCTGAGAAATGCAAATTAAAACCAAACCACAATGAGATATCACCTCACACCTGTCAGAATGGCCGCCATCAACAAATCAGCAAACAACAAGGTTAATGAGTATGTGGAGAAAAGGGAACCCTTGTGCACTGTTGATGGAAAGATAGGTGCAGCCACTATGGAAAATAGTATGGAGGTTCCTCAAAAAATTAAAAATGGAACTGCCTTATGACCCAGTGATTCCACTTCTGGGTATATATATCTTAAGAATCCTGAAACACCAATCAGAAAGAATAAATGCACCTTTATGTTCATTGCAAGTGCTATTTACTATAATCAAGATTTGGGAGTAATTCAAATGCCCACCAATAGAGGAAAGGATGAAAAAGTTGTGGTATATGTATATGATGGACTATTACTCTGCCATAAAAACACAACGAAGTCTTAACATTTTGATAGCACAGATGGACCTAGAGAGTATTATGGTAACTGAAATAAGTCAATTAGAGAAAGACAAATACCCTATGATTTCACTTATGTGTGAAATCTAAAGAACAACCAAAAACGCAAACAAACAAAATAGAAACAGACTCATAGATACAGAGAACAGACTTATGGTTGCTAGAGGGGCGGGGGTTGGGTGTCTGGGTGAAAAAGGTGAAAGATTAAGAAGTACAAATTGGCCCTGACCTGTGTGGTTCAGTGGTTAGAACATCCACCCGTAAAACAATAGGTCTTAGGTTCGATTCTTGGTCAGGGGCACATACCTGGGTTGCGGGTTTGAACCCCAGCCCTGGTTGGGGAGAATGTGGGATGCAACTAATTGTTTTTTGTTTTTTTTTTATCCTCACCCGAGGACATTTTTCGATATTTTGTTCAGATAGAGTGAGAGGGAGAGAGAGAGAGAGAAACATCGACGTGAAAGCGACACATCGAGTGGTTGCCACCCACACGACCCAACCAGGGCCGGGGACAAACTGGGATGCAACTAATTGATGTGTCTCTCTCACATCAATGTTTCTCTCTCACTCTCCCTCCACCCCCATCCTCCCTTCCACTCTCTCTAAAAATTAAGGGAAAAAATATCCTCAGGTGAGGATTAACAACAACAAAAAAGTACAAATTGGTAGTTACAAAATATTCATGGAGATGTAAAGCACAGCATGGAGAATATACAATAATATTGTAATAACTATGTATGGTGTCATGTGGGTACTGGAAACATGGCGGGGGGATACTTTGTAAAGTATATGATTGTCAAACCACTATGCTGGGCACCTGAAACTAATACAAAATAATATTGAATGTAAAATATAATTGAAAAATAAAATGTAAATTAAATAATAATTACACAAATATTTATTTATTGCTATCTTGGACAGTTTGATCTAGAAACACAAAAATAAGACAAGATTTTGCCCTTAAGAAAACACTGTTTAGGGCAGAGGTTTTTATTTGGAACCCAGAGGGAGGTCTATGAAACTATACCCCAAATTTTCTGTGTGAGCTATGGAAAGGGTTCATAGTTGTTTTTTTTTTAAATATGTTTTTATTGATTTCAGAAAAAGGAAGGGAGAGGAAGAGACAGACAGAAACACCAATGATCAGCTACCTCCGCACGTCCCATATTGGTGATCAAGCCTGCAACCCTGGCATGTGCCCTAACCAGGAATCGAACCAAAGACCTCGTGGTGTAGGGGATGCACTCAACCAACTGAGCCACACATGCAGGGTGAAAATGTTCATAGCTTTCACTTTACACTCAAGTATCTCTCTCTCTCTCTCTCTCTCTCTCTCTCTCTCTCTCTCTCTCTCTCACACACACACACACACACACACACACGGCAAAAGACGTTAAAACCATTTGGCTTGTAGATAGCCATGTGAGCTGATAAATTAGAATGCAACATTCCATTGTCAGTACAGAAATGAGAAAAATATTGTAGGAAGCCAGAACATGAAACCATTCATTGTGGGGACATTTGGCTTATATAAAGACCTTTCTTGATTAACAGGCAAAAAGCAAATCAAGTAAAGGAAGTTTGTGGTTATTTATTTTATGAACCCTTTGGGTTCATTTACATGATTTTAGTTGTGTTCTGAATAATATTCACATAACCATATAGTAGATGTTGGTTTTTAGTCTTGAGCTTTTAGAATCAACCAAATGATATGTGTGGAAGATGTATTTATTACTCACCATGGCAATGTAAAAGTAATAAATTACCAAAAAATGGTATGAAAGAGGCAAGGTGAATAGGATTGTAAGTGGAATCACTAATATCCTCAACTTCATTCCAGGGAGTAAGTAGATACTCTCTAAGGGGCTAAATCAAGATTCAAAGTTTTACATATAATATTTTTAAATATATAAAGAAAACTTCTAGAAGAAATAAAAGTGATAAAAATCAGGAGTTGGAAAGGATAGGGGAGGTGGTGCAAATTGCAAGAAACTCCTTATTTTTATAATAAGGAGTCAATAGATTCTTTCTAAATTAAGACACAGATATAAGGGCATTTTTTTTTTACAAAGTAGTAAACAATTTTACCTCCCAAGTCTAGCTATCTAGTGTCTAGGGTGCAGTAGGGGTTCAGTGAGTAATTATTGAGTGCATTGATTTAACACATATTTTTGGAGAGTCCACTATATACCAGGCAGTATTCTAGGAATCGGGGATACAATGATTAGGAGATTAAGTTTCTGACAAATTGATGGTTGTCATATGGTTGGGGTTGGGTGAGCAAGGGGTATGGAGGGAGCAGGGTAAAAAAGAAAAAGGTATTAAGATGTACAAATGGCCAGTTAAAAAAATAGTCACCAGGATGTAAAATACAGCATAGGAAATATAGTCAATAATATGTACTGTAGTAACTATGTATGGTGTCAGTTGGGTACTAGACTTATTGGGGTGATCATATCTTAAGTTATATAAATGTTTAATCTCTATGTTGTACACCTGAAACTAATATAATATCATATGTCAACTGTAATTGACAAATTTTTAAAAAGAGATTAAGTATCTGTGTTTGTGGATCTTACATACTATTGGAATGGATACATAACAAATAGCTATATAATACAATATTCATTAATTGTAGGTACCATAAGGAAAATAGAGCAGGATAAAAGAATAGACATTAAATTATGAATGAATCCATCCCTCAGGCTGCAAATATGAACTCTTTATTCTGAAATATTGAAAGTTTTTGTTCAGTGATAAGTAGCTGGAACCAGAAGAAAATTAAGCTAAACCAACCACTACCATCAACAATTTATTATTAAGTAATTATTATTATTATTAAGAAGGCATTCCCGTTGACTTTTCTCTTACTCAGAGGACCGTTCTTTGACGTTTGAGCAGTTCTGGTAATTCACAGACCTTACCATCATTTAATTATCATGGGAGCAGAGTTGGGCAGTCTTGGAATATCTGAAGCAGATGTGTGAAGATTGTTACAGTCTAATGAAAACAA